AAAGAGCACCGTTACGTAATTTACGATCACCGGTTTGCGTGTCACTTGGTCGCGCTTTATTATTTGTTTCTCAGCATGAGCATGTGTGAAGTGAAACGCGGCCCACTGATATTCAGCAAATTGTAAAGCCTCGCTCCCAACTGAGATTCTGGCAGCTCACATCATTCAGCCGATAGGTAACAAGCTTATTTCAACGGAAGTTCCCCTTTGTATCTATGCCATTTGCACACACAAAAAAAGTGTTCCCGGCGCCGGAACTCCCACTGTCGACGAATTGTCAAAAATCACACCCTCGTTAATGAATACCGCCAAGTTCACGAAAAAGAGATGATTACCAAGGAAGAGTCCAAGTGGATCTGCATTCAGATTATAAGGTATCAAATCGTTAAACTTTCGTCTAAACCTCTAAGCAAGGAGAAATGAAAAACAGAGATTGAATTGATTGTGATGGTGTTCCGTCCACCTCATACTCCGCGGGGCTCTATTTACTGGATTTCGCTACAGCAGACATTAACGCTCAAGGCCAGTATAAGCACGGGGCTCCGGCTTCAGTTCCGCGAGTGAAAAACGACGTTAATGGTTATAGTTTCCAAATGTTTGATCGATCTGTTTCAACGGTACATGCTACCGTAAATTTTTCAGACGATTAAAACAAATATACAATAAATGACCAAAAATTCGTAGATCAGTTTGTTCTTCACGCATTCTACATTCATTAAGCAATATCTACACACGACCACACGACTAACAAACACTGAACCTATGGCTGAACAGATTTCCGGATAAAAGCGCATACCAAAGATTGCTGCACGTATCCATAGGAAAGTTTAGGAATTTTCCCCTCCAGTCTTCCGATAACTCAGTCTAGAACCTTTACAATTTCAACACCATAATGTTACTGAGTTTGTGAAATCGCACTCCACTGTAACCAGTTGCAGATACGCTTGAGCGTCGCGTGTTTGAATGCATTCCCCTAAGTGTAGAGCGATCGCCCAATCACGCTGTAACGAATATGACGAAAATTCCCGTATAACATGTACAGTCTGGGTCCCGACAAACCTAATGTGAAGGCGAATTACAGGATAGGACCATGGAAAATCACCAACGTTCTGGTCTGTACCAGTGGCTACGACGGTCGGTCGCGGGGTGTACCCGAGATGGTTCATGTCTGTCCATTGCAGTCTGAGGGGCGCATAATGGTGGACATCCTATTCTCCACTGCCACACAGTCAGGCGAGTTGGACCAGTCACGTTGCTGGACACCTGGGTTTGTGCTGATAATGAGGCAAAGACGGTGAACGTCTAGCAAACCCTTCTAGCCTAACTACAGAGGAGCACCTCCAACAGGCTTCCACAGCACCCAAAAGAATTTTTTATGAAGTAATACAAAGTGGCGGGAAAGGGGCTTTCAAACGCATTACACCCTTGGTCGTTTGCTCTGAGTTTTCTTAGCAGGAAACCACAACATGTCGGGGGAGGGGGGGGAGAAGCGAGTAACACAGAGAAGCATTTGATATTATCGAACGTCTCCAAAAGCATATCCAAAGGATTTCCGCTCATGGTTGTCCAACATTTGCTGACTTAACAAGTGTAAGCACCACCCAGCATTAACAAGCTGAACCACGCTCCAAACCAGCATGCAACAATACCGATTCCTGAAACGAGATATAAACTATCAAAACGCGATAGTCCATACCAAGGAGTATCGCGGAAAATGCCGCCTCAGTCCACCTCAGCACTAAACACATCCAAACAAAGGCTTCAAGACGGAAGACAGTTCTCGGTTTTCTGAAGCTGCGAGAGAATCCGGTCGCTGGAAATCACCAGACAAGTAACATCTGGGACATAAGGCGAAACGTACCATCTGATTATATTGCAACTGCGTCTAGATCGAATTGGCGAAGGGCATGGAAAAGATTTCTGACGTCGGTTCACAAGCAGCGGGGTCAAATCACCGCGGACTGAGGTCCTTTATAACAGGGTGAAGCCAGGTGCTTATATCAGACGCCCGATGGGCAGAAGAGCAAAACACGTTCAAAGCTATCAAGCTTAATATTGTTTCAGTAGCAAAGCCCAGTCTCAAAGCCGGAGGCCTATGTCGACGCCGACGCCCGATTAGCCATCTTAGATATTGATTCCTCAAGCATTTTCAGTGCGTTGTTTGGTATTCACCAAAGTCGACCGAATGCACCGATTTTTAACAGCTATTTTATTTTAAGCGAGACGAGGGGAACATCGTAGCCGACGTACACAAGGGCTTCAGATTGCTTCGTTACCCACTTAGACTCGTTTTTCCACTCCTCTTGCTAATCACAGAGAAATAGAATAGGATGTACACAGCAGATGCACACACAGTGGTTATAGGTGTGACTAGTATTTTTTCCAGTGTTACACGGTGTGGTGTCGGATGTTTTAAAAAGCGGTATCAAGATTTGTCTTATATTTGAATGTGGTCACTCATAGTACCTATGAAACGTTATCCTTGTCGGGATGTATATATATACGTATATATGCATATATATATGATGCACGCATGCACGCAACCAGTTAGTTCACAAGAACTTGCAGCTGCATGCTAGTTGCGCAAGGAAACTTTATACTCCATGTCGACTGGGAGTTCAGAAAAGCCGGGGTCTGTATGGCCATGAAAGTAGGTAACGGATGCCAGCTTTGGATCATTTAATAAAAAACCAAAAGCTCTTCGAAAAACGGGTGCCATTAAACGTAAGTGAGCTGTTTTCACTAGTACTTCCAGTTAGCCTTGTTTCTCTGGGTATGAGGCGGCTGGGATTGAGGGTTCAACAAAACAACGGCTCGTCTGCCATATTCCTCAGCCAAAAGCTCAACTGACTTAGGACTCCAGAGCTTTTGATATCCTTACTCATTTTACTGACAAGAGTTTTGGGTCTTCTTGCATTATGTGGGTCAAGTAGCCGAGTAGCGCGATTTTACACAGCTTGGCAGCGTTGCCAGCGCTTTATCACATAGATTTGGTTTATAACCATGTAAGCAACGGAGTATTGTCCAAACAGCCAACTGGTTAACCGAGGAAGTTGTCAGCTCAGTGGATCACTGCTTGGCACTGCAAGCAACCAGCTAAACAAACAAATTGCTATCATTTCCATACCATATTTCTTCCGACCCATAAAGTTGATGTTGTGATAGCATAATACAAGTGGTTTCACAAGGGGTCCAGTTGACACTCTGAAAGCCATCATGAGGTCTTCTCAAAGTTAAGGAAGCAACAATGACGTCGAATTTTTAGATCCTCAGGAAGATTATGGCATGATATCTCTTTTGATGAAGTGCAGCACTTTTGCATATAGGAGCTGTACGACCTAACCTCCTCTGCATAAATTAATATTCAGTCATTAACTCTTAAATATACCACAGTGATATCCTACTTAGTTGAAGATTATCTGCTGCCAGATGAAAAGGTTACTAAAATCAGGCCGATTTTCGTCAACGCTCTGTTAGCTTTTGAAACATTGCGCATTCAAACACTGAAGTTGAAACTTTCAAGGATTTGCATTAGCTTGCAACAATTGTCTTAATAAAGTTGTTCTATCCGCCATGGCGAAACAATTGATACGACCAGTCAACTCATGGATTAGCCTATGTCTTGTTTGAAACTGTTGAATTGCTGTCTAACACTGCCAATATATCGAAAGCACCGCAACGGAATACGGACTTTAAACCTCACTGACCTCATCAAGAGAACTGTACCTGGCCAGTCAGATGGTACATTTATGGATTTTGGCTTCCAAAAAATTGGTAATCGAGAGCCATCAGAGGTGCTACCGGCTGTTGCCGGTTCTTAGATTTGCCTTACCTGTATCAACGCCTACTTCTCAGAGGCAATTTTTCTTGCTGATTTTGTATGCCAATAAGATTGTATTTGTGAGACTAACCAGTTTTTAGCCACTAGAGGCAATCTATTGCAAGATTGGTGCTCACGCAGGCTAACTACTGATCTGCCTTGGTATTCCTAGTTGATTTTCGGGATATTATGCCAAAATACACATTGGTAAATCATGCAGATACATGGGTTGATTTCGTCAACTAGCAAATACCAGGTAAGTTTGTCATAAGACTGAGAAAGATATTGCATCATTTAACGCTATTTAATAACTACCAGCTACCGAAGGCAGATCGACGCAATTAAGCGGTATGACGTTTGTCCATACTTTGAGTAGTGGCTTGTTTACCGGATAAGGGTGATCAAGGCCAAACAGGTCCAGCTGTTCAACGTCTTATTTGGCATCTAAGCCACATCATTCTTAAGTTACAGGCACACATTCTAGCGTGTACACAAAACTGAAAGCCGTAAGTAGTCATTAAGAGATGACATATCGTTGACATAACACATGTACGCTTCGTAACAATCACTATTATCTGGACACTTCTGCTTAAAATTTCCCAAGGAAAATGTACCTGTAACCACACTTGCTCGCAATGAAGTGTGACGTTGGATAAAATATTTTGTAGTCTGTGTAAGTTTGTATGTTAAAAGTACACCGTCTTGCAAAATTTGAATTCTCGTAAGTTTGCCTGAATGATATGACCACATTGTCAACTGATTTTAGCAGTCACTTTGACTCTGCACCTTATGATGACTAGTGTCCTTGTGAACATTGGTGCTGTTCACACTGCATTGTCTAACTGATAAGGTCACATTTCTTCAACATTTATGGCATCATACCCAACAAAAACCCTGAGGAAGCTGAAAAGAGAGGCTCATCCTTATGACGGCGACCGTGGTCCTGAGAATCCGCGGAAAAGTGAAATATTTTCAGAATTGGATAGATTACACTCAAAATGGCACCGGTGGTGGCCAAAGGATTAGCATTGCAAAAGAATGAAGATAACGTTTCTAGACTGCCTAGGTACGAGTTATTAGAGGTGACTGACTACGACTGATTCAAATCGATGTCAGAATACGTAAGCATTATTTGTAAATTAATCAAGAACATTCTTTCACAAACAATGCACCTATCTACCTTTACTGCTTTGATCGCTACGTTCAAAGAGCTTGAGTTGTTTCCAGAATATGGATACCTGGCTCGGTATACCGTACTGAACTGGCCTATACCGATTACATGATAGTCAACGAAATCACCCAACGTAATCCGGTTGTCTTCTGCGTCCATCCAAGTTTGGCCTTCATTTAAACATTCATAGTAACGTATGAGCCTTGATAAGACTGCATTGCTGCCAAAATCTGTTTTAAATCTTCGGTTTCCAAAATGTTCTTGAAAGGGGCACGTTGAACTTTTGCACAAAAGCGGGAGGCAAGGGTCCATCCTTGTGTTGGTAGACTGACTCCGAATATGTCCTCCATTGTGTTTTGGCATTTGGACCTCTGGCTGAATTTCGTAATAGTCTCCGCTCATGTGCGGCATATATACTCCATCTGAAGAAATCACAACTTCACGTTCTGCAACAGGTATGAAGTCCAATATTTGATTAACTGTTGTCATTTCACGATATATATGTGGTAATAAAACCCATAACACTTATTTTTAACTATTATTCCACGACATCTAGCAGAATCGTGAACCTCGTAACACACGATATTAGATCACATAGATCAGCTGATTATTTTCGAAAACCCGCCACCCGCGAGGTTAAACAAAATTGATTCGGTAAAACAAATGATCGTTCCAACTTGGATTATTTAAGAGATTGGGAATATTTTTGAGCATACCAGGATAAACATTTGCTGACATAGTTTATATATTATTTAGATGCACTTAGCTAGAGAAAGCAGTGGTGGATGGCTTCATAAATAATATCACAGTAACTCAGTAGCCCACATCGTATCGCATTCGGTAGATCTTCACGGATATTTCTACAGGATTATGAGTTCTCCTAATGTCAGACGTCCACAGATTGAGCATTCGAGCCACCAAAGTACAACTACGCCATCCAGAGTTACTGAAATCGCAATACAGGCCGAGTGAGTTGTATATAGCAATTCCGATACCTTTCACTTATGAACACAATACGTCAGTTGGTATAAGATTATGTATGTTTCCAATGGTTCTCAAATTTCCGCATAATTGGAGTCGGTTGTATAAAAGCTCTTACTGCTGCTTTTTGCTTCATCGTAGTACCGATCTAGATTGTCGGCACAGCAAATAAATAATCACCTGATAAATCTATGGATTTGTTCACAGTAATTAACCGTCTGTGGTGTTAGTCCGTTTGAAATTTGTAAAGACATGGCATGCTAATTCCTGATAAATTGACTGTTAGGAGTTTCATCCTGAATAGTAATCAGTTGAATCTAGCAGGATTGTTTTTGTGTCGCTGTGGATAAAATTTCGCGCTGTTTGTTCCACATCCACATGGCAGCTCACGATGACTGCGTGCACTATTAGTGATAAATGTTGGTATTTCGGCTGATACGCAGCCAACTGTATGGAGAATAAGCAGCCTTTTTGCAAACGGTAAACACTGTAAAACAAGTTCACAAGAAACCGGTTGTGCTGATAATTTTACGCATAGCTTAGAATTGTAGCCTCGTTAGTTGTGTTGATTAGGACTGCTCTTGTCCTGCATAAGCCTATAGTGGATCAATAGTTTATGGAGTGACAGGTTTACAGAGAAGCTAGGTAGGGACCGATGGTGAATAACTGACCATACGTGTCGTAGTACAAATGGAAGGATTTAGTGCCGAAATGAGTGCATCTTATTTCGATTGCAGCGCAACGCGCCCACATCAACTCGTCAAAATAATGGCAATTACTAACAAAGTCATGTTTTTGTAAACTTCACGGGGTATTCCTGAACTTGATTTGGTTACAAATCATGACTGAAATTGGCTAAATCTTTCCCTTACAATCGATTGGGTAAGCCATCGAAGACAGAACAGTAGCACTATTTATCACTCTGCTACTACTGAACCGCCGTCAGTCAGACTGAAAAGCATGATAGTAATATTTTGAAGGATTATATACGACACATTCAATAGTTCCCAATCACTTTGTTGGACAGAATAAATTACTGTGTACCCAGAGGTAATAATCACTTTATAGAGTGCTTCTGTGCTTTTCTATTAGTTGTATTGTCCTTCAGGATCTCAGGAAATAGGCAGGCTGGCCTGTTAAATGGTGATATGTAGAAATGTAGCTTGCATTTTCGTACAAGGTTTGAATAGAATTGTTTGGTTTATATAGCTTGTCGTTTTCAGTTTCCTCGTTGCCTGAAAATTTTATACAGTCACTTCCCAAACCATCTGCTACATGAGTCGGATTTAGTTTATCGTACAGACAACATTATGCCGCAACGACCATACACAAGTTATCGATCGTGTTGCTAACATAACACCACATCGTCTTGTGGCTTCAGCTGTGACAGACTGCAACTAGATGCTAACGTACTTTAGTTGTATCGATTTTCTTGCGTCATTCGTAAGTACCCGCATATCGCCGTAGAAAAAGCGCATGCATATAGCCAGTGCATCAATATTGATTGTCTTATTCAGTAGGGTACGTTTTACCTCCAACATCGTTTTATTGACCAGCTTGCCAGCGTCATAACTCTGCGATACTCATACATGATAAGAAAAGAGAGCTATCCTAACAGTGAGGGCACTAAGTCCAAATCGCCGCAACGTGGGTACCTTGACCCAATCACCGAAATATCAGATGGTCGTACTGGGTGGACGCATAGCGCACAAGCGTCTTACATGCACACCGGTGGGACTGACCGGTCACGTGAAACTGTTACGTGAGTGTCGTTGATCTGTCTGTGCGTGAGCGAGCCCAAGGTCGCGCAAATACCTACCTTTTTAGAGCACTGACAGTGTGTAGACAAGGTCAAATGCGGTTGGCCAAATAGCGTCACCGGAGGCGGGTAAGAACATCGCCACCTGATTCGCTGACGGATTAGAGGGACGGTGAAAGTGGTCCAGACCATGCGATACGAACTCGCGAACTGGTAAGATCTCGTTTCCGTTTGAGATATGGCAACTTCTCCACTGACGCTTTGAGAGGAAGTCATGCACTGCAAAATGTCATAAAACGAATCCTGATGTAGACAGTCTGATTTGAAGAGACGTCCCTTCGCTTGCTAATCGAAATGTTAGTGTAACTGTTACGTGTTTGCTTGTAACTTTCTGTAATTAAAATATTGAAAGCTGGTTCAACTTAAATGCCGACAGTTAAATTCGCCTTGCAGGCATAGCGAACAGCGGTTGTCGGTTGAATAACTGGGACCGTGCAGAACTGCTCCAGAGAAGAAAGTTGAAGGCATACTATGTCGAATGTGGACGTCGTATCGACCGTAAAATTGAAAAACACACTGGCGTTCGTCTGGATAGTCAACAGTGTGTGGGGGCAATCAACGTGTTGGGCTAATCTGTGACCACAACCGCCTAAGCACACCATGCGAACAACAGCGACGCGTATCCAACTGGAATTGTGAACAGGAATAGACATGAATTGTTCTCACGACTATCAAGGCTACGTGGGTCCGTGGAGGGGGGCGTATGTTGATGGACTGCATCAGCAACATTGTTTTGCCTCGCCAAACCCAAACAAATGACGCAAAGCAAAGCAGCGTGCGAACGTGGAACCCACTTAAAATTGTTCCAAGTATCAGCGCTTTCCTGTCTGGCGAAAGAGCTCTTAATTTTAGCTATCAGCACCTTTCAATTCTCATCTAAACAGCGTACGCTTTCCACCTGGGCATGCTTACTGGTACAACTGCTTCGGTGATATTACGGTGGTTCAGTTCTTGAAATAAGGGGGTGTTGGGGAGAACTTGGGCGCCATATTTTCGGCAGCAAAATGCACGGCTTAACTGTTGGAGCAGGTGGTTGTGCTCGTAAATTTGAAATTTCGGTTATCGATTAAGCCAGACAACTTACACGACAAAGTCATTAGTACATGAAAGTAAATGATAGTACATGATAAGGTGGATGTTCATTCCTCATAGATCCCGTTTTCTAGGTGAGAACGGTAAAAAAACCTAGAAAGTTGTAAAACTAGTCCTTCTATAAGCAATCTCAGTACCCGACAATGATTTGCATTGAGACCTCCAGAAAAGATTCACGCAACTGGGAAAAAATAATCTGAGAGAAATCTACATTGAAAAGAATGTCTAAGTTTCGAATATATACTCATTTGCAAACTAATTTGGTTTTGCGAGAGACTCACCTGGAACCCAGCTGAATCTCTCATTTATGTTGATCTCAGGCAACTGAGTAGAGCATTACAAATATAAGTGTGTATCGCGATATCTCGAATATCGTAGCGACTGAAACATGAGGCGGCCTGGTGCAGCACATTCAGTTGCCGGGATGCATCAAAACCGAGAGATTCAGCTGGGTTCCAGGGCTGAGTCTCTCGAAAAACCAAATTAATTTGCATATGAGTGTATATTCGCTGAATTCGTGCAATTTGGTTCCAAGTAGAACATAAGGTTGACGGAAACCCGGGGACTTCGCCTACCTGATGAGCCCCAAGTGGAAGGGCGAAACCGGTCGTGGGCTGTCGATGGATTTTCAGCAACCTTATGAGTAATACATTACAAAGGTTTGCATTGTCTTATAACACTGTTCTCAGGTCACCACACCCGGATTTGTTTCCTCGCCCGACCAAAAATTGAACCAAAATACGACACTTGTGTTTGTGTTGCGCATTAGTGCGAGAGAGGAGACAAAACCTGAGTTTTGTCGCTACATGACTGTGTGAAAATATGCAGACGGGATACCTACTTCAGGCGGTAGCTGACCTCCAAAGTTCTCAAGGTCCGTTTACAGGGCTATTCGCAACATGATAAAGTCAGCCGATTTCCAAAATCGCTTTTTTAAATGGGGAACAAGGTCCTATTGACGGAAACTACTGCCGGAATTCTCAACTCTGCTAATCACCACAAAGACGGAAGACCGAGAGAGAGTTGAAACGATGAAGGAGATTCGCCTCAGCCGGCAGGGGATCTTTCAATTGCCCCAAAACTGAGCGTAGCGTTTTTCCCTTCTGAAAAGCTACTCTAATGCATTGTCTTGTTAAAACACTGTTCTCAGATCACCACACCCGGACTTGTTTCCTCGTCCGACCGGAAATTCAACCGAAACACGACACTTGTGTTTGTGTCGCGCGTTAGTGCGAGAGAGGAGGCTAAACCTGAGTTTTGTTGCAACATGACTGTGTGAAAATATGCAGACGGGCTACCTACTTCAGGCAGTAGCTGACCTCCAAAGTTCTGGAGGTCCGTTTACTGGGCTATTTGCAACATGATAAAGTCAGTCGATTTCTAAAATCGCTTTTTTGAATAGGGAACAAGGTCCTATAAACGGAAACTACTGCCGGAATTCTCAACTCTACTAATCACCACAAAGACGAAAGACCGAGAGAGAGTTGAAACGATGAAGGAGATTTGCCCTTGCCCTGGATGCCAAGGTATCTAGACGAAAACAGATGAGGCACTGCAAAGCAGCCAATAAGTCTCAGATTCCTAATGTTCTGCTGTACTGAAGTGAAGTCCTTGACCTTCCAAGAACATGACAGAAAATAAAGAAAAGACCAGAACTACTGCAGTTACCGCAGGAAGTAGTGGCGCATTTGAGCATTAACCGGTCTTGCCCTCAAAATTCATATCCCGTTTCAGTAGCATTTGTGGAGCCAATAAATTATTCGTCGAGGC